CAGGGGTCAGGGCACGGCAGGGGTCAGGGCACGGCAGGGGTCAGGGCCTGGGGACGTTCTCAGCGCAGCTGGCAGCACGCAAAGCCCCAACCGGCCAAGCACATTGCCGCCCCCCACCCCCGCCCCGCGGGATCTTACTCTGGGCCTTCACCCTCCTGCTGCCGACCATGCGCAAGTGTTTGCGGAAGTTCCTGGGGAAGGAAGCGCGGGGCTGAAGAGGGCCGTGCGAGGGTGGCGGCAGCCCCCGCCCACCTAGTCCCTGTTGGGCCAGGGCTCTATGCTCTCACCCCTTCGGGGTGGCAAGCCAATGCTCTCCTTGGCTCCTGGCACCACCGCCCACCCAAAGGCAAATCCCGGCCAGTGCTCTCCCCGTGAGACCCTTCCAGGGCTCCCCTTTGCCTCCAGAACAAAGGCGCAGTGTCTGGCCCTCTGGATCAAGCCTCCTCCGGAGCCGCATTCCCAGGCTCTGACCTTCAGACCCTGAGCCTCCACGCCCATGTGGCTGAGGATCCAGCCTGCCTGCACTGAGCAGGCTGGGGCTCCTGTCCGCACCACCCCCTGGTCGGCTGGGGGCCTGCAGGAGCCCCTCCCCTCCTCTGTGTCCCTGGGGCACCTCAGGGCCAGGTCCTCCACCAAACTTTGGACCCTGCCAAGGCCCAACATCCAAAACAGGCAAAAAAGCTTCCCAGACACATCTCTGTGGTTGGAGTAGGGGAGGGGGGCCTTGCCGCTGGCCCCAGCCCAGGAAGAGACACGTGCCCTCAGAATGCAGGACTGAGGGTGGGACGCTTTCCTGCAGCCTGGGCCACACGGCCTCTCCTGCCTGCCACGTCCCCAGAGCAGGGCCAGGCCAGTGGTCGCCACCACCCTTCCCCCATCAGGTCTGCCAGGGCCGAGGGGGCCCAGGCCAGGCCAGCACAGACCAGAGGTGGACCCTGGTGGCGAGTGGCTGGCAGGCCCTACCTCTGGATTACAGACGCGGAATCATTCTCCCGTTTCCGGCGCTTCCTCTCCGCGTAGCCCCTGAACACCCTGGGAAACCACCGCGAGTCAGCACTGCCCTTGGCCAGAGGCAGGAGGGACACAGACATGGGGACAGTGGTGCAAGCAGAGGGTCCAGCAGGGCGTCCGGGGCACGGGGCTGGGCAGAGGAGTCCCAGCCTGCCTCACCTGTCGAGGCCCAGCTCCCGTCAGGCCCTGCTGCAACCGTGGTGCCCGCTGGCAGCCAGGTCCACAGAGAGCAGCACTCCCTTGAGACCCAGGTCCCTGGCCTACCCAAACCTATTTGGGGGCGGGAGGGTCTCCCCCAGGGACAACAGCTGCGCCCTTAGGCACCAAGTCATACGAGTACTTACGAGATGCTGAAGCCGGGGCCAGATGGGATGGCGTGAGAGAGAAGACACAGTGAGCTCAACCCTGGGCCTCCCCTCAGCCCCCACCCAGCCCCTGCAGCCCCCTTCTCGTCAGTGACCCAACAGGTCCCTCACAGGTACCCCAGCCACCAGCAGAACGCTAGCTACACCGCCGGCCAGCCCTGAATGGGTAACGGAAGCTGAGGTCACTGCAGCCCATGCCACCAGGTGCTGAGACTAGGCAGCCTGAGGCCAGGAGTGGGGTGGGCTCCCCAGGGCAATGTGTGGGAGCCACTGCAGCAAAGGGAACTTTCCCAGAAGGAACCCCAGAACAGAAAACCGAGATGTACGGCAAGGCAGGGGAGAGCAGGTCCCCGGGGGACCCCAAAACTCTGATTATCTTTGGCACATATGAAACAGAAGTAGGCTTCTGTTTGGGGTTCAGGGAGGGTGGACACAGGCTGAGGAGTGGGGATGGGAGCAGGAGAGCCACACCACATCCCACACCCCACTGACAGCTGTGTCAGCTGCAGCCCTGGGCCAGGTCCCCAGACCAGAGGACTGGGGGGGAGCTGGGCACCGGCCATGGGAGGGGAAAGAGCAGCCAGCCCTGACGCCCTGGCAGGCCTGGCACAGCACAGGTACGTGAGGCTGTTCAGAAGCAGCCTTCCCTGGTAGGCCCAGAGGCTGGGAAAAAGCATTGCTTCCTGAGCAGCAGAAAAACGCCCCCCGGCCCGACCCCGAGCCGTGGGGACAAAACTCACGCTTGCATAGTTGTGGTTGCCGTCTGGAAGCTGAAAAGATTTTCCTTGGGGAACCAGGTACGAATGGGGGTGTCGTCTGAAAGAGACAAAAACGAGCAGTGGCTGGGGTGCAGTAGGGGTTCTGGAAGCCTCTCCCCTCCCTGCTGGGAGGCAGATACTTCCAAGTCTGGGGTCAGCAGCAGCCGGCAGCCAGGGCGGGTGGGGGAGGCCGGCACAGGGTGGCATCCCTACACAGGGCCAGAGGGCCAGTGCTCCAATGCCCGCTGCCCGCTCACTAAGACCATGTTCTTGGTGACTTGACATTTTGATTTTTTGGCTTGACTTTCCCTTTGGCCACCCAAAGTCTGAGGAACATTCCTTTGAGAGCACGGTTTATCCCCAAGCGGCCCAGGGAAAAAAAGGTCTGTTTCCCTTGGGCAGAAGGGGCTCTGAGGACTTCTCTGCCGCCCCCATGCTCTAGCTGGAGTCCCTCACTGAGGCTGGAGACCACTTTGCTGAGGACTGTCCCCATCCCAGGGCCCCCACAGCCTTTCCCTGGTGCCAGAAAGGAGTGACTTTCTGTCTGGTGGACAAGCTACCAGACACAACTCAACGATGCTGGAGAAGGGGCCGCCTGCCTGGCTGGGCCCCAACAGCTCTCCAGGACTCTCGGAGGGCAGCCCAGTCTCCCAATTAAGCCGCGTTTCCTCCCTACATATCCCTTCAGATCCTCCTAGGCCCCCTCCTCCGGGAAGCACTTCTTGATTGACCTGGTTCTGGCAGGGCCAAAGTGGACCATGAGGCCTGGCGGATTTTGCTGAGGTGAGGGAGCCCACAGCTCATGGAGTGTGGGGGCAGCAGCAGGAGCCAGCGGGTTTAATCTTGAGTCCACAGGCACACTGTGACCTGAGCACCCGTTCTCCGTTCCAAGCCTCAGTGGCGGCTGCTGTCAGACCCCAGGACCAGCGTGTACCCCCAAACCTGTCCCTGCGCTGCTTCAGACCCCAGGACCAGCGTGTACCCCCAAACCTGTCCCTGCCCTGC